AGTAGGGATGTGGAATAAGAAGTGGAACGTTCTTTGGCTTCTGATTTGCTAAGGGCTGATCAATCTCCAGCAAAATGTATTAGTGTTTCAGACCATGCCTCTGTTAAATTAGAACCAACTGTAGAATGTTGGAGCAAAAGGAACTAGAAAGATTCATCCTAGAGTCTTTTTCTAAATGAGGAAGTCAAGGCTCAGAGAGGTGAGCTAACTTAACCCAGATCACAGACTTGGTTTGTGGCAGAGGTGCTCTTTTTGTCTCATCTTTATATCTTGAATGTATCCACTACATGAACATATACACAACTACCCTGTTTATTTCAATCTACTTCCATCTTCTCTCTTCTGGGTCTTCGATAAAGACAAGAACTGGCTGACTGCTTAAGGGTGTTGCAAACCTCATGCATAATTGGGAAATGCCACATAATCTGAGAAAGAGCTAATGTCAAATTCAATTAAATGAGTTCTTCTGAGACTAATTCCAATTGTTCTAGAGATGTATGTTTTTTGACATCAGACATTGTTTTTATTGTGTGAATAAGCAACTTCAGATATTTGAAGAAATGAAGTAACATAAGGAACATTAAGCTTTTAAGTATGCGGAGGAGTGGAGTTGATGTATTTTCACGTGGAGCCAATAAAGATTTTATTCTAGTCAACTTTAGTGGAAATGTATCTTTGGACAGATGAGGGTTTTCCCTTCATTCGGGTGCTGAAGATACAAAATAAGGTATAGTCACTCTGAGCTGAAATTTCATGATTAAAAAGTGGTGTATTTGTTGGTGATTTTGATGTTAAAATATTTTACTAACATCACCTAGAAGCAGAAGATTGAGTTATGAAGCTCTCTACCTCCCAGCTATTACAAGGTTACACCTGGTTCCGATCTTGGGGTCAGCCCCTTGTTTTCTCTTTCATCTGCAAATCTTTGAGAGCAGCGCTTACGTTCAAAAGGGCAACCGTGATCAGAAGGGAGACGGTATTTTGGGGAATTCTGTTCTCATCTGAACCAGGTTCTTAACTGCCATAGACTCTTGCCTGAGGTTGATATTTATATGTAGATTACAAAGCACTTGATCTACTTACCTGATATACTGGATGATAATGTAATAACATATATTCTAAGAAAGCATTGTCATGTCTAAAGAATCAAGTTATAGCAAACTCTAGGTCTTATTTCCAAATGTTGTCCTTACTGTTCATGTTCTTTTTTGCAGCATGAAAAGGGAAGAGAGAGGGCCGGAGTGTGTTTTCAAATGCACGTCGATCATTAACAGTCATTTACAAAAGAACTTTGTAGTTACTGTAATCATTAAATTTATTGACCAATCCCGGGGAAATGAGATGATACTTCTTAGTTTGCAGACTGGTAAATGGAATCACAAAATTGAATTCTATTTTAATTCTGTACCTGCAAAGCTTATTTGAATATGAATTTCTTATTACTGGATATATGTGCATTTTACCCCCAGGCCATATTATTTCTTACAAGATTATTTGCCTTATGAACCTTATTTTACTTTGCTTCCTTTCTACTTTGATCTTAATGTCACATTGCATACCTGAATTTAAATAGCAAATAAATGCCCTGTAGCCAATTTGGAAGACACTTGGGCATAATACTGTATCTTCTAGGGAACATTACAGATTAAATACGTTAGTGAGGCCATCAAAATAGATGAAAATGGCTTAAGCTTTGCTCTGTCACCGTAAGAAACATTCAAACCTGTAGAGAATTTTTGGTGAGTTTATTTGAGCCAAACTGACAGCAGTAGCTGGGAAGCAAAACCTCTGGAGCAAGTTGAGATAATGCTCCAGAAAGTGAAAGTTTAGCACCTTATTTTATACATTACAATTAAAGGAGGATACCTAAGGGGGTTACATGAAATCCATTGGTGATAGATTAGGGAGGTTGGAAGAAAACAAAGCAGAAGAATCTCTGAGATCGGGTACAAAGTAAAATGGAGAGATACATACTTCTTTGACATTGGTGGGTATACCATAGTTAAGAGTGAACATTCACAGCACGTAGAGGTGGTGTGTGGGGAACGAGATAACAAGAGAGGCTCCCCAGAGGTCTGCTCTGGTGGGAGAGTGTGCTCTGAGGGGTCTGGATAAAAGGGAATTAGGTTGACAGTCCAAGGGTATGTTATCTCAGATGCAAAAAGACAACAGGCTCAGTTAAGGTAAAGATTGACCTTTGTTAGGGGAAGAAACCGGCTTAGGACGTGACTACCCCCCACGAACTGCTTTTAGTTAGTAAGTTCTAACTTCAGGCCGTCTTTTGTGGTGATTTTAGGTCTGAGTTTGTAAGGCTGCCACACAGGCCTCACCTGAGCTTGTCAGATTAGTATGTGGCCCCTTTGCTTCCACAGCTATTTGATACCAGATACAGCAAGAGAGACAATGGTGTATCTAACTGTGCCTAGCTCAGTGTTGGCATTTAATAAATGTGTTGCATTTGTAAGTGAATCATTATAATTTTTTCACATTAGTTTGGAGATTGTTGAATAATTTTTTTCCCAACTTCTTACAGTAGCACCTCTGACAGAACAATGGAAAGAAGAAAGAGGAATCTAAATGATCGATTTGGGGCTTAGCTTTGACTAAGGAGCTAAGGATAAGGGTACTGTTATGTACTACTAATAAATGGCTAACAAGTATTCAGCTCTTTCCAATATTTCAGCTACTGTTCTAAGCATGTGTTCATTTAAACCTCACAACAACTGCTGTTGTTAGCCCTATTTTGCAGATGAGATAACCGAGGTTTAGGAAGATGAAGTGATTTGCCCAAGTTACACAGCTAGAACCCACATACATAACCATGGCACTACACTGTCCCTACTCTCCATGGTGCCAGGCACTGCACTGGGCTGTCCTTTTGTATAACTAATGTCATAGTGACATAAGTTATCAATTATATATAACAAGCCACTGCAAAACCTAGTGACTTAATCACGTTTGAGTAAATTTTTTAAAAAGATTCTATGGGTTGCCTTAGTTTTTCTCCTGAGAGCACCTGGGGTTACATGCACCTGAATTCATCTGATGGCAGAACAGGGCGAGGTAGTCCTTGATGGCCTCTCTTTCCTGTCTGCGAGTTAGTGCTGGCTATTGGCTGGTGTGCCTTGGTTCTTCTCCACATCACCTCTCATATTCATAGTGGGCACCAGGTGGGGATATCTTAGAAGTGTTTTGAGAAGGCAAGTCCCAATGTGGAAAGCACTAATCAAATCTTTGCATTGTTCACATTTGCTGCTGTCCTGTTGGCCAGACCAAACCATGGTCAAGTGTGAAGTCACTTGGAGAGGTCACCTAAACTCTACCCCTTGATGGGAGGTAGTGTAAATAATTTGTAATCATTTTTAATCCGCCAAAGGAAGGAAACAATTTGAACAGCAAAGACCAGGGGTCTGCAAACTTTCATGAAGGACCAGATTGTAAATACTTTAGGCTTATGGGCCTTGGTTTTTTGCAGTTTTACTGTGATAGTAACCATAGACTGTGTATAAGCAAATGTGTGGCTGTGTTCCAGTAAAATTTTATTTACAAAAACAGCAGGCCTTGCCAGACTGCAGTTTGAGGACCACTAACAAAGACAACTGCAGGTTGCGATGGACTTTTAGGAGTAAAATCCAGAGGAGAAACTCTTCAATGTTGGTCCTGTTGAGTTCCAGATTGAAGAGCATTGACACATTTCCTGGGAGTGAGCGAGAGAGTGTTTAAATCTCTTATCCTCCAAGAAAGAGAAGCCAGGCAAGTCCAACAAAAATTTCTTCTGATGTAATTTTGGAAATGACTGGGAGGATGGCCATTGCCAGACCTGACTGGGCACCCATCATGGCCAGGACATCATGAACATTTCAAGGATTCACATAAAAATACTAGTGATATTAAGTACTCACCAGGCATTTTGTAGTAGAAGTCCCATAGTGCTTAGATAACCTTATGAGATTGAAATTTTCCCTCCATTTTGAAAGGGTCAGGCCAGGCCCCCACCGCCACCAGACTGCTAATGACCCAGTCAGGCCAGTTTCCAACCCTCTGGACTGCCTATGACTCAGTCGTCCTGACTGGCTTGGTAGCCCAAGGCTTAATTGAATAGCACAATAGACACCTGGCGCCAGTTCACATTCTGGAACCCTGAGGCATCAGCCTGGAAGAACAGACTAACCTCCCCTCACAAACCCCACGCCTTTTCTTTTAAAACCCCCTCTCCTGCCTTCCCCTGGGGCTGAAGTTGACCCGACTCAGCCTCTCGGTGCAGCATCAAATAAATAAAGGCACTTGGATCGGATCACCCGGTTCTTCCGCCTCTCTTTCTCAGCATTTCTAACACATTTAAAAAATGGAAAAACAGACCTTAGAGATGTGCAGTTACTGTCCTTAGTAAATAGCATTGGGTATTAACACTCAAGATTTGAAGCCAGAACTAGAACTTTTTCTGTGCTCCTTATACTCTATCACATTGCCCTTACCTTTTGTTTTGAGTTTAAGAAAATAATTTTATGTAGAAGAAAGCTTACTTATGGAAAAATTATTTGCTGCTAGTTAGGAAGAAAAGTCGTTCCAGGTGCAAATAGAAGATAGGGACTAAAAGGATTGGTAGTTTTATCCTACCTATTTTAAATATTGTGTATTAATGGAATACTTGAGGTATATAGTAAGATCAGGAGACAACTGACACAAATAGCCATAGGAACTATCTCCAACTTCACTCTTCTTTTTCCTTAGCTGATTTTATCGAGCAGCTATGTCCCAGGTAGATGTTGGCCAAGGCCCAGAACATGTGAGGTACTGGTTACCGTAGCACTGGACGAGTACAAACACGATTTAAATCCCTAAGTCCCTAAGCAAGCTAGCGTGCCGGAACCAAAGCTCCCACTCTCAAGTTTCCGGCCGGACGCGCGAGTACGTTATGACGAATCGATTGCTTTTGCCTGGCGGAAGCCTGACGGGAGAGGACCGTATAGCGGAAGGCTAAGGAAAGTCTGGAGGTGAGTCGTCTAGGACGTCCTGGGTTAGGGCGGGGAGGGGGCAACTCCAGCCGCTGCGATTTGGGCTGGACCTGCCTGGCCAGTCGGGTGTCCCAGCGGATCTGAGAGTTAAGGCATGTTTACACACGCGGTAACGCGTGCCTTGCGCAAGAACAAGACCCTCCGCTACGGGGTCCCCATGTTGGTGAGTGCCTCGAAGAAAAAGTGTGCGGGCAGGATTGCGGAAGGGGTGGGACCTCAAGTTTGGCTCTTTGCAGACCTGCGGGAATCTGTAGTAGAGGCAGAAGACAGTAACGAGGGCTAGGAACGGCTGGCCTTAGGTTGAGACCTTATATTCCTATTCTGTTCTTCTCGGGCTGCTAGTGGGATCTCTAGTCCCCCTCTTACTTTCCCTAGTGCTCCAGAGAGCGACATAAGAACCAGATTTTAATCCAGATTTGAATGATTACTGAACAACACCCCAGCCCGTCCCCCGCCAGCCCCAACTAACTTGATACTCTGGATCATTGGAACTAGACGTAGTTACTTAATTTAACTGTGCAGTTTCGGGCGTCTCCATTTTTCATTTCTCTAGTTTTTGAACTGGTGTATTTCTTCCAAGGTTGTTGTTGAGTTAAATAAAACCATTTGAATTAAGTGTTTACACGGTGCCTGCCACATCGTAGCAGGCCTCGAAAGGTCACTATTTATATTTGTAAAGCATTCAGGAAATTCCAAGTGAGTAGTTCCCTCCCAGGACCCCGGACAAAGACCAGACCTTCCCCCCCCCCCCCCCATGTAACATGTGAGTACTGTAATTGCAGTAGTCCAGAAAAGAAATGGTAGTGGCCTGGAACTATAGCATTATAAGAGGATATAGTCAGAAATTGTCAGAGCCAAGAAATATTTTGGAAGTCTAGGTGACAGAACTCAGGGATGCATAGGATGTGAGATAGGAACGAGAGGAGCTAAAGATGATTCCAAAAAAATTGGCTTGAGTAATTGGATGAAAGTAGTTGACGTGCAGGATGAGAAAGATTGTCTAGGGGCAGGTTGGGGTAAAAATCAAGAGGCTTTTTACAAAATGTTCATTTGTATGTACCTGTTAGACTTTCAGGTGGAGATGTCCAATAGGAAAGGGAGGTCTTCAGTGCAGAGGGATATTTCCCATCGAAAATGTGCGTTTGGAGGTTGTCAGGTTATAGAGGCTAAATTTAAGTCCATGAAACTAGAAGACATCCCTTAGGGACTCTGTTGGTTGTGAAGAGGTGGGAGAGATGTGAAGGCTGGAAAGGTGAAGAATGAGTAGAGGGCAGCTGAGAAGTTAGGAAAACCGGGGTGTGTCTTTTCATTGAAACTGAGACAAAAATTATTTCACTTTACAAAGCATTCTTACATATTGATATTGCAAGTATTAGATGTTTATGTATAACAGATGCCTGATTTGTTGTCTTTTGATTTTATGTTTTAATTTTGTGTGTTGGGATGGATATGTGGTCAGATTTATTGGGTTTTGAAATTCATAGCCTCAAAGTTTTGTTGGTATTCCAGCTTTTTATATTTCATGTTGTTTTATATCTTTTTGTAATTCTTTAATCGCTATCATTAGTACATTGATATAAAAAGGAAGGTACAGATAAAACTTAATGTTTTTCCAAATTGCTAGGCTTTTGCAGCTTTGGGATGAAGAATTAAAGCCCTTTGAATTATTGGAATAGATGATAAAGCAGCAACAACAATTCGAGGATTCTTTTAAGATTGCCATTCTTGTATCACTTGGTAAAGAAATGGAGAAAAATCTCTCCAGTTGACTTATTTTGTAAAGTCTTTAAATTGACAGAATTCTGGTCTTGAAGAAACAAGGCCAGAAGTGTATTCCTGGCGCCATCCATTGTGTGAGTTGGCTCTCCTTTTATTTCCTTGTCTATTAAGTGGATTATTTTCTTTAGTTCATAGGTCTTTTGTAGGGATCAACTAATATAATGCTTGTGATGATATTGTTTAAACCATAAGGTCAAATACAGGTATGGGGTACTGATTTTGGTATTTGGTAATGTGCTAAAATGTTTCCCAGTGGCAGATGGCAATATTTACAGCATCTACTCTGAATGATGAGTGGTAACTAACCAGGAAAAATAATCTACAGGATTTTGTATAATCTGTCACTGTTGACATTTATGTAAGTAATCTGTAGGTAAACTGAATTCTGCCCTTCTATTTTAATTGTTTCCTTTCTTTGTTTCAGTTATTGATTGTTGGAGGTTCTTTTGGTCTTCGTGAGTTTTCACAAATCCGTTATGATGCTGTGAAGATTAAAGTAAGAACTATGAGTCGAGTTTGTAATGTGTCTATGTATGTGTACGATCTGGTTTAGGGTGTTTGTATACTCAGTATACTAAGCAGTCCCTGAGTTTTATTTAGCTGTTCAAGACTGATACATGATGATTAGGGTCTTTCTTATTTTTTATAATAACATTAATGATCACATGGAAATAAGTCATAAAATACAAAGAATTTAATAATCATTCTCTTTCTTTTTTAAAAGATTTTATTTTTCTTTAATTTTTACAAAGGAGAAAGGTAGGAGAAAGAGAGGGAGAGAAACATTAATGTGTGGTTGCCCCTCACATGTCCCCCTACTGGGTGCCTGGCCCGCAACCCAGGCATGTGCCCTGACTGGGAATTGAACCAATGACCCTTTGATTTGTAGACTGTTAACCGCTGAGCCACACCAGCCAGGGCTCATTCTCTTCATTCACTAAAAAATTTGCAATATTGTTAGCATTCTGACACAACATGTGCTCTGGTATAGTTGCTTTTAGGATTTAGAAAGGACTAAAGAACATGGGGCAACAATTTCACCCCATTTTATTACTTCAGTTATAAATTAGCTATTTCATATTAATACCAGTAATTTTATAAATTACATTGCTGTGCATCTTTAGTAACTAGTGCTAGAAGAAGAAATGAGAATATAGTAAAAATAAAATTGAAATTCAAAGTAATCCTCTCTGCGTAATCATTGTTGAAAAATAATTTCATTTTAGTTTAGCATTTCAAGTGGCTGATTAACATTTTTTTTCTAATTCTCATCTTTTTGTAGATAAGCTGTCTTTTCACTCTTTTTTTTTTCTTTTGAGATTTTCTTTTCGTCCCTAATATATTCTACAGCTTTATCATTACTTGATTAAGAATGGGCTTTTTTGTTTTGATATTATTGTTTCTTTTATTATGCTCTTTCAGTCTGAGGACTTTTTTCTTTTCTATATGGTATTCATTTAATTAGTGATTAATTATTTAATTATTGTCCTCATTTCACTCTCTTTACTCTCTAATTCCGAAACCTGTGATAAGACGTATTTTGGAACTTTTGGATCTAGCTTTCATAGTACACCTTTTCTTTCATTCACCCCATCTCTTCGTGCATCGTTCTAGTGGGTTTTCAGGTTGCACTTCTAGTGGACTAATTTGGTCTTCAGCTGTGTTCAGTAACTCTTCAGCTATCCCACTTAATTTAATTTGGATTTTATTGTTGTTTGTTTATCAATTTCAGCCATCACTTTCTTCTTTCCTAAAACCTTTGCCACACAAAGGTAATGTGGCATCAGCTTCTGTTTACCACCATGGAATCCTGTCTGATTTTCGTAGATACTTATTTCCAGTATAGAAGATGTTCTCTTTTTTTTCAAGAGCAGCATTCTATGTATTGGTACTTGCACATTTCTATGTGATAACATGATGGAGGGTGGTAGTTAGTAGCATGGCCCCCTGGAGGCAGAGGGCCATGGTTCAGAGCCAAGTTCTGCCTCTTCGACAAATTATCCAAATTCCCTGTGTCCTGTTATCCTCAGTTGTGATCATAATTATAAGACTTACAGGCTTTTGTGGGTATCAACAGAGGTAATATATGTCCAAATGCCTGGCACGTAACAAGTACTCAGTAACTGTTAGCTGCTGTTAGTGGTAGTGGTGGCGGTAGTGCTGCATCAGCCATTTTTCTGGGATTGAGTGGATGGATGGTGGCGATTTTGCTGTGTTTTGTAATCTACACCATCGTAGCCATCCCTTATATGACTTTACATTGAAAATTAAATCCACCAGACTTAAATAATATATGGCCCCCCTTTCTTTTTTTTACAGATCGATCCTGAATTAGAAAAAAAACTGAAAATGAATAAAGTGTCACTGGAATCAGAGTATGAGGTACATGGCACGTTAACGTAGTCTCTCTTTTGTAAGTCTTCCTTAGCCGTGATGGTTCTGTCTGCCTCGAGGTAGGTAAGTCTAAATGATTAACAGTGCAGAAAAATATTTACCTTATGAAGGGATTAGTCAAAGAACATACATGAAGGACCCATGGACATGGACAGCGATGTGGGGCTGATTATACAAATGGGGGGTGGGCTAGGTGAAGGGGGGAAAGGTGGGACTACTGTAATAGCGTAAACAATAAAATAGTAAAAAAAGGAAAGAAAAATATTTACCTTAAACATATGGTATTGGGACAACTGTGTAGTCATTTGAAAAGAAAATAAAGATGGATCTATATTTCATACACTATAAATGAGTAAATTCTAGGTGTATCAAGAATTTAAAAATTAGCCCTGACTGGTGTGGCTCAGTGGATTGGGGCACGGTCCTGCAAACCGAAAGGTGGCTGGTATGACTCCCAGTCAGGGCACACGCCTGGGTTGCCGGCCAGGTCCCTGGTTGGGGATGAGCGAGAGGCAGCAGACCCGTGTTTCTCTCACACATTGATGTTTTTCTCCCTGTCTTTCTCCTTCCCTTTCTCTCTCTCTAAAAATAAGTAATAAAATCTTTAAATAAAAAAAATACTAAAAGTGCTAGGAGGAAAAAAAAGAACATTCTTTTCTGTGGTCTTAAGTCAGAAAAGCCTATTTAAAAGACAGTACCCAACCCAGAAGCTTTTTTTTTTTTTATTTTCACCTGAGGCTATGTTTACTGATTTTTAGAGAGAGAGAAACCAGTTAGTTGCCTCCTGAGCGCATCTCAGCTGGTGGGCAGACCTACAACCTTTTGGCGTACGGGATGACGCTCCAACCAGCTGAGCCATCGGCCAGGGCAGCCCAGAAGCTTTGAAAGTAACGAATGATGAGTTCTACATGAGAATTCAGAAGTTCAGCCTTCAGAAAAAGTAATGTAGGCGTATAAAGTCACTAGTTAAATGAGAAATCCTAAAAATACTTTTTATCATATTATAATGGATTGATTTACTTAAATATCAAGAACATCTACAAATCAGTGTGGAAAAGTTTAGCAATTCAGTTGGTCAGTAGGAACTTGGGCAAAGCATATGAAGAGTTCAGGGGAAGGGAAATAAATGTCTTGAGCATGTGAAGAGATACTCAACTTACAATAGGAATATTACTTAGCAAAAATCAAAGAGTTGAATATTACATAGAATGTGGTGAAGGGGCGTGTTCTCCATCTCTTTTCCTTTGTCCGCTTCTTTTGTTGTGGATTATACCAGGGTGGGCAAGACCAGCAGGCTCACAGTTGTGAGTATGCGAAACAGAGGTTATTCTTCCATTATTTATGTATTTACTGTTGTATTATTTGTGAGTATCATGTAAACCTACTTTTCCCCATCCTTTTGTTTTTTCATTTCTTTGTGTGTTTGGTCATTTTTTAAAATAGATTTTATTTATTTTTTATTTTGAGAGAGAGGGAAGGGAGGGAGAAAGAGAGGAGGAGAAGCACTGATGTGCGAGAAACACCCAACTGGGGACCGAACCCCCAACCCAGGCATGTGCCCCTCCTTATGCGACGATGCTCCGTCACCTGAGCCACACTGGTCAGGGCTGTGTTTGGTCATTTCTGATTGAAAGGTAGACATCATGAATAGTACATTGAAGAGATCGAACTTTTGGCAGGCAGTTCCATTATCGTCTGTTCATTTTGAACTTGGTTTTGTGCTTTGTAAGGGAGGAACTTCGGAAAGGCGATAGTGTCTCCTAAGCCCCTCCTCGTGGGTCTCATTCTCTGAATGGTCTCTCCAAAGAATCTTGTCAGAGCTTAGTTTTAAGCTTTGTTGGGTGAGTTGAAAGTAGGTCTTCCCCTTGGCATGATTCTCACTCCTAACGAGCAGCCTTTTTGGTGTCTCAGCTGGCTGTCAGGGTAGCAGCTGCATATGAAGTCCACCCTGACAAGGGCTGAAAATCCAATGTCGATACTGCTTGTCCTCCGCACTCCTTGACTCTGTCCCACACTCGATGCTGTAGCCGTCGGCTGTTAACTAGTGAGCCTTCAGTGGTCTTGCCCAGCACATGAACAGCCCGGTCAGTCTTCAGTGACCCTGCATGCTGTGCAGAATTAGGGACTGCTTTTTTTATTTTTTATTTTTTTGCAGAATTCTACAGGGAATCTTTTATTCACCAAAGATCTCTGAAGTCTGGAGCACTTTTACATGAAGTTGTTCTGTCAACTTTGCATCTTATCTAAGAATTATTCTTAAATTCTCCTGAATGTGTGTCTTATATTATCTGAGTGAAGGCCATTATTGCTTCTTAAAACCATTTTAGCCTCAGCTGGTGTGGCTCAGTAGATTCAGTGCCGGCCTATGAACAAAATAGTCGCCGGTTTGATTCCCAGTCAGGGCACATGCCTGGGTTGCGGGCCAGGTCCCCAGTGGAGGCCACGTGGGAAGCAACCACACATGGATGTTTCTCTCCCTCTCTTTCTCCTTCCCTTCCCCTCTTTCTAAAAATTAATAAATAAAATCTTTAAAAATTTTTTAACTTTCAGTCATTTCATAACTATACTTGAAAATAATTTGCTTTCTTCTAGCACATGAATAGAATTTTGTTCATCCATATATATTTAATACAAGCTCCTGGTAAAACTATAAGTGAAATTTAGAGGATGGTTTCATTCACTACTTCCCCATCATTGTGGTCAAATCTGTAACTTGCTACTTCTCAATATATAAGCACTGTGTCAGTAGTGATGCTGTGAAGCGTTTGTTTAGTTCTCTTACAAACGATGGAATTTGATAACTGAAGAAACCATGTAGACCATTTGGTCCCGCTTATTGTTATTACTTATGAGGGAAGTAGTGCCCAGATGGCTTCAGTGGTATACAGCTCATTAACAAAAGGGTGATCTTAGTATCCAGGTGTCAAGGTAAACTTACATTATTCCCTGTCCTGTGTTCTCTGAGCCTCTTGCTGTCTTGTCCACTCAATATCCCAGGACAATCAAAGCAGATGAATGACAGCTACTGTCACAAGGGGGAAGAAACACTTACATTCTTCCCCTTCGTCCTCCCTTCCTTCTGGGGCTTGGCAGACACTTCAGACTAACTGGAGGCACAGGGATCCAGCTGTATTGAGCTAGTGCATGTTACCTGCAAGGGCTCTGCTTGTGGCAGCTACAGGAAATGGCTTTTCATGCTTAAGCCCAGGCTCCCTTTCCAGGTGCAGGACAGATCATCTTGGTCTGTCTTCTTCCTTCTAGCAGGTCGTAAGGTCTCCGCCTTTCCTCTCCTCTGGTTCCCTATCACCGCCCACGCCAGCCCGTGCTGGTCGTTGTTGTGCTGGACCAGGCTTCCGAGTCGGACTTCTGTTTTCCTAGCTTCTTTCCTTTCTTTGTTCTCTCAGAAACAAAGCATCTGGACTCTTTTAAAAATGTGTAATAGTTTTATTCTCATGTGGGAAAAGATAGGCATACTTACATCAATAGCAAGCAAGAAAAATTCCAAATCCTAAGAAATACGTGATTTCTTCAGTTACCGCGCTTGACATGCAGTTGATTTGTTTGCTCAAATCATAATGGAGGGTCTGTTGGATTCTTCCCACTCGTTACCCAACCATGTCCTGATCAGAGCCACAGGACCCTGCACTAATGCGCACTTTAATGTCTGTGGCTCCGCAGAAAATAAAGGATTCCACGTTCGATGACTGGAAGAATATTCGAGGACCCAGGCCGTGGGAAGATCCTGACCTCCTCCAGGGACGAAATCCAGAAATCCTGAAGACGAAGACCACTTGACCATGCTGGTTCTTTTTTTATTCTTTATTTTTTAATTTAAATAAAATGTTACCAACTGAATTCTCACTACATCCTCCTGTCCGGTGGAGAGAAAATGTCAGACCTGCAGAAAGCCTGGATGTGAGTAATTTGATAACAGATAGTCTTGATTAAAAAATCAAGTACAGGTTTTTTGCTTCCCAACCCCGCCATTTGCAAATGAATGTAACAGTGTCGACCACATATATTTTATACACTCAATAAAAGTGTGAGCACTGCTGCTTACCGGCTGTCATTTTTTATACTCTCAAATGTGCACCTGTGTTCCTTTTCCAAGAGCCACTGGGGCAACATTTTGATACTTCAGTCTGATTCCTAATGAGAACAGTAGGTCTGGATCCAACTTTTCTTAGTAGCACCAAGCAGTGGTTTTACATCAAAGCTACCTACGGAAGTGATATTGACCACAGTGTGATAAGAATCTTGTTTTCATTTATGATACCTCACATGGTATGCTAATCGCTTTCTGAAGCATCACTTACTGATTGTATTGATGCTATTAAAACGTGTTAAGAAAATTATATTGCTCCTGGTGTACATAAAAGTCATGAAGTATATATATGTGTTATATACAGGTACGACAGTCTTGTTTAGGTGATCAGTCCACTGCTGAGTACAGCTTGGGAAACACTGATTTCAGGTGTGCTGTATGCCGTGCATGCACACGGACTAGTCTGTTTTTTTAACTGTGTGTTTGCTGTGACCTCAATGCTATGCAAAAGGATAGAATTGAGGAAAGTCATTTTTTTATATTTGGTTGGCTGAAAAGTTCATTTGTTTTTTTCCATAAAATGGCTCTAGTAGTGCTTAGCTGTCTTTAACTTCATTCAAAATGATTTTGTTAGATTGTATTGTGACAGCTGTCATGTCAATATGCATTTAAAAAAGTATAAAAATTGGTCAATTTTTGTGTGGTCATTTTAATATTGAAGATGGAAGAAAATACACAACATTCTCTGTGTATTATGCTTTATTATTTCAAGAAAGGGAAAAACACAACTGAAACACAAAAAGGATTTGTGCAGTGTGTGGAGAAGGTGCTGTGGCTGATCGAATGTGTCAAAAGTGGTTCGTGAAATTTCGTGCTCGAGATTCCTTGCTGGACGATGCCCACGGTCGGGTAGACCAGTTGAAGTTGAGAGCCATCAGATTGAGAACAAGCAACATTATACCACAGGGGAGATAGCCAACATACTCAAAATATCCAAATCAATGAAGTTATTGGTGGAAATGAAAAATGTGTGTTTTATTTTACAGAAAAAACTAAAAGGGCATTTTGGCCAACCCAATATAACCAGTCTGGAAAATGTTTTGGCAGTTTCTTAAAAAACAAAATAGGAGATTTCTGGTGCCCACCATTAAGGGCGTATTTGCTGGAGCTTCTTTTACCCGATCCAGTGGGGTATCGTGTCCAGTTCAACAGGAACTGCAGGGCACACTGAAAGAAGCTGCACAGCCTGGAAGACAAAACAAGCATTAGAATCAGGTTCACATACGGCAGGGATGTTGGGATTATCGGACTGAGAATTTAGTAATTCTTAGAGCTCTAATGGAAGAAGTACGCATCGTGCAAGAACAGGTGGGTAATGTAAGAGAAGTGAAGGTTTGAAGAATCAAGGGAAATCCTGGAAGTTAAAGGCATCTAGACTGGAAATAAGTAAAATGATCTCTATTTGTAGATGATATGGTCCTGTGTATATAACATTCTAAGAAATCCACCGAAAACTATTATAACTAGCAAGATCGGCACTTGCGAGAGTATTCACGTATAAGGGTGGCATTAGGATTTGGTAGGATTATAAACCTCAAGGGCTGAGAATCCTGCCCAATCTCATCTCTCTGTACTGCAACACCAGAGACAGTGGTTTCTGAGCTGACCTGGTAAGAAAAGTCTTTTTCCCGGTCTTTCAAGCTCATGATAACAAATTAATATTATTGATCTAAGACATCAATACTTTTTCCTTTTGAGAGTCCGTGGGAGCATTTCAGATTATAACACAGTTGATTGGTAAGGTTCTATGATTGTCTTTGAGTACCCCAACCTAAAGAAGACTCAGGTTCCTGACACAGAGTATTGGTAATCAGTGTAAAATCTATTGAAGTTTTCATAGAGAAGGTTTGCACTGCACACCATACAATGAGTGAGTAACTTCGGAAATCCACTTAACTAAATTTCTCTTTCAAACGAAGTCCAGCATGGGCACCCTATCCTCTTCTCACAAGGCCGTTTCCCTGGGTAGGGTCCCACCCTGACGGATCCCGATTTTTGTGTTTCTGGATCTTCTCTTGCTCAACCAACGCCCTCCCAACACATGCTCTCCACCCCGCTTTCTTCCAGACTCAGTGCTTTCCTATGCACAGCAAGTCAGCTTCCCCCAGCTCCTGCACAGCACTGCAGTCCTCCCCAGAGCCTCTGCAAGAAAGTTGGTTTCTGGCACAGGGAAGTCGTGAGGAGTGATCCTGAGGAGCTTTATACCACATAAATTTAGTATATATATGCACTATCTTGGGGAAATTCTTTAGCTATTTCATGCCTCAGTTTCCTTATGTGGAACATGGGGATGATAAAACAGTAGAATTAATGTGCTTTGATTATGTAAAGCTCTTAGAACAATAACTGGTATAGAGAAAGCCATCAACAGATGTTAGGTATTATTATTAAATAAGAAAGAATTATTAGTGACAATACAAGTTCTTATTAAAATGCCACATCTAAAATAGTATTTTAATAGCATTGCCAGCCATCTATAAATAGCAGTTAATCCTGTGTGGAAACATGTATCTAAGTGACCTTATGTGTCCCTTCTGCAGACAGTGAAGTGCAGTGGGAAACTGAAAGCGACAGACCCGGACTGGAGCCTTGGCTCTGTCGGGCTCTGTGGCGCTGTGCCGCCGCAAACTGCAATCGGCCACACACTACATAACCCTCTCGCGTGTCCCTCACTGCATTTGTGACACGGGGTTTTGTAGTTAGTTGTCTGTGTCAATCAGGCAAAGAAAAGATAGGTGATAAAGTAGTGGTTATTACTATTACTGACTAGTAGATGGAAAATAACCTGTTTACAGATGATAAGCATTCTGTTTTAAGTCATTGCTTCACATAATTCAGTGAAACAAATTTCTCCGGTTTGTTTTCTGCCGTTTGTCCCTTAAACAATGTTTATTTTAACCTGCTGGGAGCATTGCAGACTGATAGAATGCAAGTGGACAAAGGTTTCTGAAGTGGGATTTTCGATTTCCTCTAGATCTATAGAGTGGAGACCAGAGTTGGAGGACCCAAAGGTTAGGAGGCGTTTCTGTCTGTGATGCTCCCAGCATCCCCGGGTGGGAAAGCCTTGCAGTCACCGCCTCACACCACCAGAGGGCGAGCGAAGACCACACAACGCTGAGTTTGGGCTATTGGCCGCTTCCATGACCCAGCTCTGGCGCAGGGCTGCACTCTCCACAGGGATCCCATAATCCTGAATCCTGACTTGTTCTCTCTCTGCATTTTCCCTTTAGACACTGTGGGGCCAGGGGACTCCAGGCTGCGTGAGTCGCCTCAGCTACCTGAGCAACTGCATCCTCTGTGCAGGGCCACCTCCACAAGGAGAGGCTGGTGTCTGCTGCCCCGCAGAATCACGTCAGTCGTGGACTCCACAAAGAGGAAACCTAGGCGACCACAGAGGGGGCAGTCTCCCACATGCGGTGTTTTGAGGAGCTGCCAACCACCTGTGTCTGAGCTGGGCTCTGCTCTCTTATTTCCTTCTGCTTTTGTACTTCTTGGTCAGCACCCTCCTGGTCCTTCTCAGCTCCCTTTTCCTTGCCCAGATGTATTAACCACAAGAAACTGGAGCTACTTTGCATCAGATGGCTCTAGGAGGGAAAATCAAGTCCTCTTGCTGGTGCCTTGAACCCGCGGCTCCACAAACACATCGACACAGGTGCACACGGGCACAGGCGCACCAACCACTGCCCACCTGCGCGTTGAGAGTCGGAGGGGGAGGGGGAGGGGGAGAGGGAGGGGGAGGGGCCCTCCAGGGCGGCAGCCGCCGCTGGGGAGGTAACAGGCCTGCGCTCAGCATAAGTTGCCAGTCTGTATCTTGTCCTCAGGGAACACATTTACTCCTGTGTCCTGAGGGACAAAGGACAAGGGACAATGTCTAGGAGTCTCGGGATTTGGGAGTGGATTTGACCAGGAGTCTATCGGGCAAATCAAAGTTTTCCTCGGGCATTGGGAGCACACGAGAGGAGACTCCAAGCCCCACAATGGACACTGGGGGAAGGTGCCCGATTTTCAGAAATCCAAATACTTTGTCGGCACAAGCCCAACAGTGAGGTTGTCGGGGCTCGTCTGGTGGTTTGTATGGCTGATTGTATTGGACTGTGACCCTTTTTTATGTAGCACACAGGAAAGAAAGCCCCTGTAAAGGCGCGCACTCCTAACCAGTTCCTTGGACTGTGCACTGCCGGGAAGGTCCGGAAGGCAGCCTGCTCCCCTCAGCCTCCTCCCCAGCAGGGAGCACAGGAAGCCACCACACTTGTCCCCGCCCTTTCCTGCTTCCTTTGCTATGCTGTGTGAGTCACTTTTACCGGGACCTGCCTCTGAAGTTCTGGAGTGTGAAGACCAGCGAGGCCTCTACTGATGGCCAAGCGCTATACCATTCCACAGGTTCAGGCCAGCTCCTGATGCGGCCCCAGAAATACTGCGCACGGGGCCTGTATTTCATTAAAGTGTCGGAGAGTTAGAGAGTGTGAACAGGAGAGAGAACCTTGAAGATCACCTGTCTTCGACTAAGACCCTCGTTTCACACAGAGGGGAGGCGAGGCCAGAGAAGAAGGGCGCCTTGCCCAAGGTCACACAGGTGTAGTGGAAGATTCTGGACTGCAATCCACTCACCTGAATTACCAGTCGAAGACTGTCCTTCTGTTCACCGTTTAAAAGATTGGGTGGGAACCATTATTTTTTTCCCCAAAGGTAATAAATTCTGCTTGTCTCTATTTGTGAGTGAGGGCGAGAATACAAGCCCCTGCGAGCAGGTGCTAGGTGAATACACGCTTAAAAAAATGTGGACTGGATGAATGGGTGGATGGATGTGAACAGGGATAAGGAGAAGAGCCATAGCCGAAAGCAGATGAGACCGACACACAGCTGTCCATGAGTGAGTTTGTGCCCTGGGTGTGAAACCTGGGTGAGGGGAGCACACCTGTGTAAGGCATGTCGGCAAGCACCAGGTGTGCTGGGAGTCCAGTCTGTGATCCCGCCATCAGACTTAACTTCTTTGGGCTCCACTTCTGTACTTTCCTTGACATTAAGTAACCAGAGTAGGCCTTAGGGATTGTCTCAGGTCTATGTCAGACCACAGGTCCCAAGGAGGAAATGGATTTCATAGGAAGGTCATCTTGTTTTGTGACACTGTGCTCTCTGTGTGTATGTGGTAGGGGAGGGGCGTGGGTCTTCCTGGAACATGCTATGGGTAGAAAACCAGCATTCCCACCCTTTACCCTCCAACAGATCCCAAGCCCCATTTCTTCCTCTCCTCTGTTCATGAGGAATGATAACTTGGAAAAGAGAAGGGTTCACTTTTGAACTGCTTATAGGTGGTGAAACAATCTCAAAATAACTCATTTAAATGTTCAGAACCTACCTAGCTGGTCATTTATTTTATTTCATATCTCAGTATATATTCAGTGAAATCAAAGCCTTGTAACCATTTATTCTTCTCTTATGTTATGGAAAATGTTCTCCCCCCAAAAAAAACTCCAAAGGAATTCGTTGGTTTCTTAAATTACATTTCACATCGCCATCCCCAGACCACCCACCACCTCTGTGAACAGGTCTCTCTCAAAGCCTAGAGCTGCTGCATCTCGTAAATAACGAGGCAGAGGGGAGAGGGCTGGAAAAAGAGTACCAGCATAGAAGGACTCTTCTCTTTTGGAGACTAGGTCCCTGGCTCTTGACAAGTCAGTGAAAGGAAAGTACGTCTCTGAGGGTTCGCAGGGAGGAGTCTGCTGCCTGCCTCCATATCTGGGAGCAGAGCAGGCTTGGTTGCTCCAGCTTGGTCTGTGATCCCTAGCACAAGCAGTTATGTTACTATGGCTGAGCAAAGTACAATGTTTCTCTGGAAATGAGAATGAACACAAGCCTAATTCCTATCTGTAAAATAAAAACCAATGAATTAAAAAGTTAGACACCATGATTTGCCCTGAATTTTGTGCAGGAAATGGGCTCATTTAAGTTCTCTCTGATCTCATCAACTAATGGATATCTGATTTAAATTCAGGTTCCAGCCTCTTTGTTCAAATCAGTTTTATGGTATGTTGCGATGCACAAAAACACACCTGGGTGCTAGGAATTAGGTTCCTGATACAAGGATTGCAGTGGGAAAATAAGTTCTTTGAAGAAAAAGTAACTAAGAATGGAAACATTTATACTCTGAGGCTACTCAGAATGAGGATGACTTAAGTATAGTCCCCAAATGTGGGAATTTTGCAAAGCAACTACTGATCATTTTTTTTTTTTGTATCACCTGAGAAGTCTAAGGAAAGGCACAAAGTGCCTTATTGGCAGCAAGAGCATCACAGATCCTGGGCTGAAAAAAGTGTTAGAAACTCACTAGTCAGGCAGACCAGGGGGTTTCCAACGTGGACAAGGTCTGGCAGAGAAAAGATGACAAGGGTTAATTAATGTGACAACTACTTACTGAGGGACTGCTATAAGCCAGGCAACAGTCTCCCACTTGGAAAACAGTGATGTTAACAACAGAAATAGATGCCCTGCCTTGTGGTTCACAGTCTGCACTCAATCCACTGAGCTATACTAGCCAGGCAATCCCTACCTTCGTGGACCTTATATTCTAGTAGCCGGATATAAATATTACATAATAAGTATGTGAGTAAATTCTCTGCTATGTTAGAAATTGATGAGTATTATAGGGATAAAAGTAAAGATGACAGGGTTTGAGAGTCTGCAGGAGAGGGGACAGCAGGCTATCATTTTAAATAGGGTGCCCAGGGTTGGCCTCACCGAGATGACATTTGCGTAAACATCTGAAGGAGGGAAGGACGTTAGCCACGTGCATATCTGGGGTAACTGGGCTCCAGGCAGAGGAGACAGCCAGTGCAAAGGTCCTCAGGTGGGAGTGTGGTTAGGGAAATGTAGGAGGCAAGTAGAACTGAAGCCACGTGATGCAGGGGCGGGGGGAATAAGAGGAGAGGTGAATTGAGAGGCAAAGAGAGAAGGGCAGAGAGAGATCATAGGCTTTGGTGGTCATTTTAAGGCCTTTGGATTTTCTCCAAAAGGAATGATGCACTATTGGAGAGTTTTGAGCAGAAGAATGACATGACTTACAAATATCTTTCTGGTGCTGGGTTCAGACATGATTCCGACTTGAGCTAAAGGCCTCCTTCAGATGTGCATTTCACATCTCAGTGAAGAAATGAGCATGTGAATTATGGGGATGTGGCACAAGGCAGCACAAGAAATAAAGTTAAAGGCAGCTAGGAGTCACCTATAAAGGGGGTTGTTTTGAATCCGGCGCTGAAACATTTCTCAACACTTCGGAAGCCTTTTGCAGGGACTGTCCACTTTTGTGCCTTAGAGGGTGTGTTTACTCTAAGTGTGCAAGTCCAAGGATGTTAAATAAGCCTCACTTGACATAGTTCAGGCTTCTCTATAGTGGGTAGTACAGAGCCAGAAGCCTTAAAACGTTGCCTTACCACTTTCGGTTCACTCCAGCTGTCTTTTTTCTAAGGCAAGGAAGAAACTGTCTTCGGACAAAACATGCCTCAGAACTCTTTCCCAGCACGTGCTCGATCAAACCAATGATTTTATTAAAATCATCCACATCATCATTCATTCAATGGACGCTGAGCACTTGTACCAGGACTTTTCTAGATGCGGAGGATTCAAACAAGGCTCTCTTTTCATGTTGCATATAGTCTTATGTATAGTCAAAGGCACTGACTTTATAAATTAAAAATAATAGATTAGAATAAGTGTTTTGTCATTCATGTGTGTGTGTGTGTGTGTGTTAAAGATTCTGAGAAGGCATTAACTTACATTGCCTGCATGAACCTGGTTTCCCTGGAGCTGCATTTGAAGTCACGGAAGTTCACAGAATACTCGGGGAATGGTGTCTACTCTAGGATGGAGTTGGGAGTGAAAGGGGATAGTAGCAGGAGTCAGGTCAAAGATATAGGACAAAAGGCCCAAGATTCCTTGCTAAGAAAATCAGAATGCAGACTGCAGGCAAAAGCAGGAGAATCTCATCATCATTTATATCTTCTAGGTAACTTCCAGCAGTGTCAAAGATAAAACTTGAACATTACAATGAAGTTTTCTTTCCTTTTTTTTTTTTCTTTCCATAGTTGACCCCACAGTCCTGTAGATTCTGCTATTGGGGATTAGGAATTTCTCCTTTGGAGACCATGTAAGGTCTCCTTTAATAGATGCAAAGATAATAAGAAATTAAACCAGATATGTTTCAGTGGTGATAAAGGGGCAAGGGCAGATGGAAAGATTTCAGGGATACCATGGGGCATCTTATTCTATGTCACCTGCACTCTACAATGTCATCTCAAATGATGCTTGTTAGGGGAGGTTTTCTCTGACTCACCCTGGAGAACCGCCCCTGTAGGGGCGATTTCCTAAGCTACCGCTGTACCTTAGGCACACTTTCACATGCGTGCCCATTAGATTGCCGGCTTCTTTAGGGCAGGGATCATATAATCATAATATATCAAGTATATAATCAAACATGTCATAGATATATTTTCATCTCTGTCTTCCTCAAGCCTTAAAAAAGGTGTGCTGGGTGGCAGTTGAATGAATGAAAAAGCGGCATTCACAGATTCATAGATGCTTGAAGATTAATGGCTAACTGGAGGTTAAAGTACTAGCATTAAAGGTTCGACGATCGCATGACAGTACGCTGTTTGCTACCAATCAACCTAACACTTAGTAGCACTTAAAAAGTTTTGAAAAAATATTATGACGATAAACTCCCCATTCCACAAATAGCCGGAGACCAGAGTACTACCTTTACAATAATTTTCCTTGGCTGATTTTATCGAGCGGCTCAGTGCCCTAGTAAGACTTTAGCCAAGAACTGGACCGTGACAGGCGTTTAGAGTTCAAATCTCTAAAACCCAATTGCACGCCGGCGTACCGGAACCAAACAGTTCGCGCTGCAGTTTCCGAGGGAGATGCTTGAGTACGTTACGAGGAATCGATTGCTCCTGCCTGACGGAGGTCTCCCGGAAGAGGACTGCGAGCTCGGAGGCTGCGAAAGAGCGTGTTCTTGTCCTGGAGGCAGTTGGAGCCGCAGAGATTGGGGGTGGGCGCGCTGGGCCTGTTTGGCAGGGCGTCCAGGTGGATCGGAGAGTTCAGTCATGTTTGTCTACGCAGTGACGTGGGCTTTGCTCAAGAACAAGACCCTCCGCTGCAGTGTTTTCTTGTTGGTGTCGGAGTTGGAGAGGTGAGAACCTAGAGGCTTGAAGAAGAAAGCGTTCGGGGCGGGATTCCGGAAGGGGCGGTGCCTCCTGCCTTGAGGGATCTAATTGCGCTCTGTCTGTCTAGCGGCCGGCTGAAGACTGGGACTCTAGCATCCGCGGGCGAGGTTTGCTTTTGAGAGTTTCTCTAGACCGGCCTCCAGGCTGAGAGATTTGGCAGGAGGTAACAAAACTAGCGTACGTCAGAGCCAGATTTTAGCCCCAGACTAGTGATTACAAAGTCTGCATTTTTTACTTGATACAGCGTGCAGCTTCTCAGGATCACTGGGGCCAAACGCAGTTACTTGACCGTTGTACAATTTGGGGCATTTCCACGCACCAGTTCAAGTTTGTGAAATGGGCTTTCTTCACATTTCATATTTGTAAGGGTACATACAGGGTTTTTAGCACGATGCCTGCTAAGTGGTAGGGACTCCCCAAGTGGTAGCTGTTCTCTTTTGTGTTTCTAAAACACTTTTGTACCTACCCTTAGTACATTACTGCCTCATGATATTCCATGGTGTTCTTTAAGTGTTTGTGTCCCTATTTACGCTGAATGCTTTGGTAATGGGGATTACTCCCACTGCTCAAGGGAACACAGGTTGACACCGGTATACCAGTGGAAGGACTGAGTCCTGAAATCAGTGGGAACCAAGTTGGAAAGCAGACACCTTACTTTATTTACTGTGTGATCTGGGGCAAGTTATTTGCTTTTACAGTTCTCAGTCTTGTCCATAAACAGTATAACTTTGATAAAGCTTTGTAACAGGAGGTAGGCCTTTCGGTCAGAATTTAGTTCAACTATACTAATGAGGCCAAGGACAAGGCCACTTCATTTTAAATTTAGAATAGTCCATTTTGGGAAAGAGTTAATAAACCTTGTCTCTGGTAGCGGGTCAAATGGCTTATGGGTACATTGGAGTCAGGGCGATAAAAATATTGGATTCAGTGCTCTTAAGCACAACAAAACTACTGGAATGAACTCAAGTACTACATCCTCTTTCCCGTGTAGGAATGTTATGTACAGAACATCCTATTGTTATATGTATCCCACAGTTACTGTAACATCTTCAAGGTGGATTATTTCCTTTGATAAATAGTAGTAGTCTTTAATGGCATAACCTACAGAAGAGAGTTTGACAGTATCAGTTATACACTAATAATTTTCTTCCCTTCTCTGTTAGCACCCTCTGCCCCTCTACCCCCCACCCAATAGTGAATTTGCTGCTTGAACTTCTTTCCTACTTATTCCCTAAAGTTTCCTGGCTGATACCTGACCCACCACTTTCTAAATCCAACACTTTCTCATCTTTACCTTGACTGTTTTATTGTGTATGCTACCAATACTGCCTTTCTGTTTTTAAAAAACCTTATTTTATACAAACCCACTGTGCTTCTTCCTCTTCCTTCTTCTAGCTTGCAGCTCTTTCTCATTTTCCTTAATGGTTTTCTTTGGTCTGTCCATTAATCTGTATTTTTTTAATTGGAAAGTCAAAGGGCCAAGATTTTCCTAAGGCAGTAATAAGGTATATGAACAAGGATAGACAAATAGACAAAATAAAAATAATAGAGATTTCAGGGGAAAAAAAGACCCATTTATGCCAATACCTGATTTATGGGGGAAAAATTAAGACACTATAACGTACTATGTAAAGGAAGATCCTTTAAATATATAGTGTTGGGACAAATATTCACAAGGCGAAAAAATAGAATCTTGACTTCTATACCACATAAAATCAATATTCCATTAACTATATGTCACATGTAAAAGCTTTAAAAAATTTTAGATGATATAATCTATTCAGAGCAGAAAAATAATTCTTAGATGGGACATAAGAATCATTATAAAGGAAAATATTGATAGTTGTATACTATTAAAATTAAGAACTGATCCTCATTGAAAGATAACATAAATAAAGAGAAAAGATAAATTTTAAACTGGGAGAAGTTATTTGCCACACATACAATCAGTAAATGGCTTGTGTCCAGAAAATAAAATGAGCTTCCTATAAATCAATAAGTAAAAAGACAGAGCCTTCACAAAGGAGGATATCTAAATGGCCAATACAAATGTGAAAAGGGTTCAACCTCATTAATCAGAAAAGGAAATGCAGATTAAAATCACAATGAGATACCACTGCACATCTGACAGAATGGCTGACACTTTAAAAGGAGCAGAAGAATAGCAGGAATTGGCAAGGATGTGGGACAACTAGAAATTTCACACACTGATGATAGAACATAAAGAAACTGAATTAGGTGCCTGTGCATCAAGATATATGTGTAAGACTCTTCATGGCTGCATAATAATAATTCATAACAGTAAAAAACTAAAATTAACCAAATATCACAGAATACGGAAATAAATTTATATGATGGAATACTCTCCAATGAAAATCAAAGAACTATAGCTATATGCACTAACATGGATGAATTCCGCAAGTGTAATATGGAGTGAAAAAAAGTCAAATATAAAAGAACAGATGGTATACAATTCCATTTATGTGAATATCAAAAATAAACTGTTTTGGGCTTCATGCTTCAATGGTAAAGTTATGAAGAAAAATAGCAGTTGCTATATATGTCACAATAGTGCTTATCTTTTGGGAGAGGTAAGAAATAGTCTTTAATGAAGGGTTGGACTGGAACTGGTCCAGGTCAGGCGTCTGCACTATACAGCCCACAGACCGAATCTGGCCTTGCCTTCTCTTTTTGTCAATAAGGTTTTATTGGAACACATCCATATCCTTTTGTGTACTGTTGTCTATTACTGGTTTTGCTACAACAGCATTAAGCAGTAGTTCATATGTCTAGAAAGCCTAAAACAGTAACATCTGACCCTTTACAGAAAAAGTTTGCCAACCTTTGCTCTGGGTGATGGTTATTACATGAGTGCTTTGTGATCATTCATTGAGCTTCATGGTTTTGACATGCACTTTTTTGTTTGTATTTTTATGTCTCATTTTTTAAAAAAATTAAAAAGCAGTGGAATGTAGTAAGTGTTCTAATACCAACATTTCCAAGTCACTGTGGAAGCACAGCAGGGGGTCAGCCCTCTTACTACTGGAAAGTATGAGAAGGAGTCCCAGAGGAAGTGGTTGTGAAGCTGAGTCTGCATGCTTGAATAAGATTGTCCCAGTTGCCTGAAATGGGCAAGGACAGTAGCAGCATAGGTACCAACATGGATGACGGCAGGAGGTGCGAGAGAGGAAAGTACATTTTGGAGAACAGGTGTGGTTCGGTATGGTGGCATGGGAAGAATGCTAGGAGATGAGGCTGAAGAGGCCACTGGGACCTTAACAAGTGATAGGGTATGTATGTCATTTTACAGGTTTAGAATTGACTTTGTGGAGGTGGTGCTGACTAAAAGGCATGAAGCAGAGATGTGAAAAACCAGGCTTTCATTTTATTAAGATGATTTTTGCCACAGTATAGAGGGTAGATAGCAGGGGGACAGGTCTGGAAGGAGGGAGAAGCATCTAGAAGACCGTTGTGTTTCCCAGAAAGAAGTGTGTTTGTTTGTTTGTTTGTTTGTTATTAGTGTTGACACTATTACAGAAGTGCCCCATAAGTCCTCCCCTTTCTCTCCCCCCTTGGCCTTCACCACACTGTTATCTGTGTCCGTGGGCTATGCATATATGCGTATGTGTTCTGTGGCTAATCTCTGCCAGTCCCCCCACCCCTCCCCTCTGAGATCTGTCAGTCTGTTCCATGTATTGTGCCTCAGCGAGATGCAGTTTTAAAAGGCCCCTACTCCTGCAGCACGTGTCAAGGCCATTTAAAAGCCAGTTGTGCATTCTGCTATGACTGTGATCGCTGCTGCTGTACTACACTGTTTATCACAATATATCCGTCACGTCTTGCTCAATTTGGATTGTAACTTATTTGCTAATGTTTTCCTTGCTTCTCAGATTTAACACATGATCTTGACTTCTCAAATGTGACCTTGATACTTTTCAACAGCAAAACTACCTTAGGTAACACTCCTCCAGGATTGACCTGGTTACCTGGACCCTCTCCTCATCCACCCTCTCTCAGGCAGTGTTCCCACCTGGGCTTTCTGCCTAAAGTAATACAGCCGGTGAGAGGGAAATGGTGAGGATGCTAACTGAAGCAAGCAGAGACAGCAGAATAGAAAAGAGAGAATCAAGAAGGATTTGAAGATGCGACTGACCAAGTATGGTGGCAGATTAGATGTGGCAGTGAGGAAGAGGGAGAAACCGAGTTTCCAAGAGTTCTGAGTTGCGCTGGTGCCAGTACAGGGGAAATAGAGACAGAGCAGGTTGATCTTATTTTGTTCGTGTAACAAACATCACTGAGCACCAACTGTATCCTAGGTACTCTGCTAAGATCTTGAACTTCAAATGTGAGTAAGAGTGCACAGTCAGCTGAGTCTTCATTTGAGCTTCACAATAGCCCTGGTGAGTCCAGACAATTATTTGCATTTGGCAGATAGGGTGTCGAGGCTCTGAAATGTCCTTGGAGTAAGTTAATGGTGAATCTGGGACTCAACTCAAGCCTCTTTACCTCGGAGCTTTTTCTTCAGCCACCGGGAGGTAATATGTGCATGTGAACAGCGTGTGAGGCCTCAGAGGAGCACATTTTCCCACCCCAGAGGTACTAGCAACGGTCTGAGACTGGACAGAAAATGAGGGGACAAGCGTGTGTTCACTGTAGCCAAGCCAGGGGTGCGAGGTGGCCGGCAGGCAGTGTCCACTAGCCAGCTCTCTTAGTCCATGGCTGGCTTCCTTAGCAGCCGTCATCAGCTTCTCTTGCTGCCCCTCTGGGCCTGGTTTCTTCAAGCCTTCTTTCTTGTACTTCCCATGTTTGGGGGAGGGGGGGGGGCTTAAATAAAACCAGATTTATGTATACAAAATTGTGTATTTATTCTTACATGTTTCAACTTCCGTCACCTTCAAAGCACTCTCCACGTGATGCAATACACCTGTCAAGACATTTTTTCTACTGCTCAGAACGGTTTTTGAAC